CCGGCGGCCTCGATAGTGTCATCGTCGGCCTTCTAGAATATTTAATTCTGGACTCTCGGGAAAAACTCGTCGTCGACGGCGTCGAGCTCGCCGTCAGCGCCCAAGATCAAATCTTCATATTTTGGTAGAAAAATCTCGACAAAGTGGAAGACAACTTCAAATGACAGAATTGATCAAACCAAAACTTTAGTTCGCATTCACATGAAATTTTGGGTAAGAATTCTATTACTCATGAGTTATCCCCGTTCACATCTGATGCTGGTGAAGAAAAAAACTGCATTAGATATCCAATTGAGGAGTATGTAACTTATGAGAAGCTATCCTCATCCTACGAAGTTTTTGTTTCTAACCTTAATAGTATGCAAATTCCTAAATCCATTTATGAAGCACTAGAAAATTCAGAATATAGGAAAACAATTGAAGAAATTCAAGCACTAAAGGTTAATGGCACATGAATTCTTACTAAACTCTCTCAAAATATGAAGTCAGTTGGGTGCAAATAGGTGTTCAACAACAAATACAAAACTGATGAGGATAGATTCAAAGCCAGACTTATTGCAAGAAGGTTCACTCAATTTTCAATTTTATAGGATCAACTATTGGGAGACTTTTGCACTAGTTGTCAAACTTACACTATAAGAGTTCTTTCAATAGTAGTTAACAAAGAATGTTGGGAGAAGCTACTTCGAAAGAATCCTCTTATTCTTTCACTTTGGAATATGATCACTAATAACGACTTTATATATGCTAAAAAATACAAGAATTTAATATTATTACTAGAAGATTTAAATCCCCGGCAACGACACCAAAAACTTGACAACGGTTATAAATTTGATAAAGATGTGCATAAAATATTCAATAATTATAAAGTCACACTTATAAATGCAAGTATACGTATCGCTCAAGTAATACAGGGCTCTAATGGAGTCGTGGATATCGATCCCACAAGGAGTAATATTAGAGGCTACGAATTTAAGATTTAGAAAATCAATACTTAATCACAACAATATAGTTCAAATTGCATATTTGTCACAAATATGCAATTAAAATAAAAATATAATTTTAATAAACTCTCAATCAACTAATTCTACTAATAAAGTTTAAAATGTGAAGTTCAATATATAAGAAAACAACATTCTCATTGTCAAGAAATTTAAGTGAATGGATAAATTGAATCGGTTCAAATTGTATTGTGTCAAATAAGAGCATACATATTATTGAGCATACAAATAAGAGCATACATATTATTTACCCTTTGGACCAGGCATAAAGAACATTGACTAATCATATGCTTAGTTATTGAATCTGTGGCTAGGCTAGGAGGATACTGGCTCTCACTTCGGAGCTCTCACATTCCCCTCGCTTGAGGGCTAACATCTACACTTCAGCACCCAAACAATAGGACCGAATTGAGGATTTTATTTTGTCACTCTAAAATCTCAAATTCTACGCCCGATAATTTTTATTTCCTTATTTATTTGCGCCCAACTTTTAAGGATTTTAACCTCCCTAAATCTTGGATGTAATCCTCACTTTAGTTGTAAAACTCAACATATTTTAACAAATCAATTGGCCAAATTGAAAGTAAATTAAGATTAAAGTGAAAAAATCATCACAACATCTTTAACATTCTCATGGCACAATCAATTCAAATTATCATTTCACAAAATCTCAAGACAATGAGAAAGACAGAGAAAACTACTCAGAACTCATGGAGAAGATACGACAAAACTTAAATTTCATATATAAAAGCAAAGTCATACAAACTACAATAAGTAAATACAACTTACTTGAATTCCTCCCTAAGTAACTTCTCAAAGTTCCTTTGAATCTCTTCCTTTCTTTACAGCACACAGAATTCTCCTTCGAAGCGGCAAGGAAGAAGAAATGTCTCACTTTCCTTCCACTCTTACAATCTCTCGAAGAATTCCTCACAATACCTAACCCTAAATTACACTCCCCTGGACACCCATAGACCACTTGACACTCTCTGTACACTATGGACTCTCTTTTTTGGCCTCCAAAATGTCTCTTAAAGTTGTAGAAGAGTTTTTAAAAGTTGCCTAAGTGTCCCTTCAAAAATCGTCCACATTCAATGCATCTATTGAGAGAACCGTCGTTCTCTCCGTCGGCGGCCTCGATGGCGTCGTCGGCGGCCTTCTAGAATATTTAATTTTGGACTCTCGAGAAAAACCCGTCGTCGGCACCCAAGATCAAATCTTCATATTTTGGTCATTTTTGTTCCAAATTCGCCCATTTTTTGCATCTTTTTGCTCCAATGACCATAATTCAACATACCTGCAACAAAACATCAAAAATACATTTCTTTAAAGTGCAATATCATCAAAATCAATGTAAAATATGTATGAAAATCTCAACATATTTTTCTTTGGTCACTCACATGATTCAAGAAAATCATAACAATAAATTTAAGCACATAAGCAAAATCAAAACAAATAAAAAAGCACACGAGAATTTATGTGAAAAAATATGAGAACGTGGAAAAAATCACGGAGCCACACTACCATTAATTCACTATAAAAATCAGATAATTTCATAAAGAACTCACACGACCTTCTTCTCCACATACGAAGAAATTTACAGGTCGTCTCACAATCTTCTTTATCCGATTCGATGCGAAAAACACACACCGAAAAAATCCCAAAAAGTCTCCTCTTCAACTCTCCTCCCCTTGATCAGGAACTTATTGAAGAACACTAAAGGAAGACCTACACCAGTCCATCATTACGCCACTCAAAATTGGTTTAAAACCCCAGAAAGCAGGGTAACTATACCGGGCGCTTAGGCGCCAAATCTGGCGTCTAAACGCCAAGCTCTCGGGATTGCGCCAAGCAAATCGGCCGTTGGCGCTTAAGAGTCGGCTCTTTCGTCTGCACCAAAAATATGACACCTGAGCACCCAAAGGGGCCGCAAAGACGCCCCCCCCCCCCCCCCCCCCTCTCTATCAGCGGCCAAAGATGGGCGCTTAGGCGCCGAGATAACGGTGTGCTTTAACTCCATATACATAGCAAAGAATGAGGATTGTATCAACTTGATACAAAAAATATCTTTCATAATGAGAATTTGGAAGAAGTGCACATGAAGATACCCCAAAAAATTCAGAATGATTTCAACAATCACTTGGTATGAAAGCTTTAAAAGTTTCTCAATGGGCTTAAGCAATCACTAAGAGCATGGTTTAAAAGATTTATTAAAACTACGAGATGTAATTGTTTTTCTCAAACTCAAGTTGATCATACTCTATTTGTAAAACACACTCAGAAAGGTCATATTATTACATTGATAATAGATGTGAATTATATGATTCTTATGTGAGATGATGAAAGTGAGATTCTCAAGATTAAAAAAAGTGCTTGCCACAAAGTTTGAAGTCAAGAACCTAAGAGCCATGAGATAATTTCTAAGTATGAAAGTAGCAAGGTCGAAAAAAGGCATTATATCATAGAGGAAATACATCCTAGATCTACTAAAATAAATAAAGATGATTGTATGTAAGCTTATTAATACTTCAATAGATCCCAACAAGTCAAAAATGGGAGAATAAATTGTCTATTTGGAAAATGGAAGATATCAAAGATCGGTAGGAGGCAATCTCCTAGAGAAATATATAAGAGGCTTGATTTTTATCGCTACTCAAGATTTCAAAAGTAGTTATGGCAGTAGTGTTCACTTCCAAAAAGAGTAACGATAAACAATTAATATACTTACTCCTATATGTTGAGGATATGTTATTAACAACTAAGAATATGAGTGGGATAAGAAAGGCCAAAGTCTAACTTAGTAAGAAGCTTGAAATGAGTAATTTGGGAGCAATAAGAAATATGCATAGTATGGATATTTAAATAAATAAATAAATCAGTAAATTATATGTAAATAAAAAAGTTTATATAGAGAAAATTCTGCACAGGTTTAACGTGTAGAATGCAAAATTTGTTAACTCTCTAATAGTAGTTATACTCAGATTTTCAGCTACATTATCTCCACACAAAATGATGAGGTTACCTATATGTCACATGTTTCATATTCTATTGCAATCTCTCACGTATGCTACAGTCTTTTTTTTCAAATCCAAATTTGTCATATACAGTTAGTGCAATTAGTAGATGTGGCAAATCCTAATAAGGAACATTGAAGAGCAGTTCAATGAATTTCCAGATACTTATGTGGCACTACTGATGCTTGTTTGCAGATTGGAAGCATTAGAAATGGACTGATTGATTATGTTGATTCTGATTTTGCTAGTAACCTTAATAAAAGATATGTTGTCACCATTAGAGATTGTGCTATCAGTTGAAGAGCTATTTTACAAACTACCGTTGCATTGTCTACTATTAAGCTCAAGTACATGAAAATTACTGAAGTCTTTAAGAAAGCTTTTTGATTGAATTAGCTGTCTGACAAAGTCCACAAGAACTTAGAAATTACAACAATTTTGTATGATAACAAGAATGCTTTTTCCCTCGCCATATAATGTTCGGTATCATTTTATGTGTGCAATCATTGCTCGTGATAATATTATTATAACTCAACACTCGTAATAAACTTGCTAATACGATGACCAGGCCACTTCCTATTGCCAAAGATGAGCAATTCTCGTAAATAGTGAGTGTTCAGTGTTGACATTTGGACTATTGAGGAAAAGGAGGAAAATGTTTTGGCGAAGATTGATGCATTATTTGCCATTCTTGTAAATAGAGATTGTTGAAATTTGTGAGCCAAATTCTAATGGGCTTCGATTGACCAGCTCGTTGTGTGACATAAATGCAGTAAAAAATTTTAAGAGAAAATTTTTTGGAGGGATCGGTGGTGATTGCAAAGAGATTGGTCCAATAGGCCTTTTTAGAGAATTTATAGTGGTGGCAGCTGGTTTGAGCCCATATTTGGAATGAAAACAAGTGAAATATAACTTCTAAAGTGTAGAATGACGGTGAAAAAAGAATTCTTAGAAAAAATAGTTTACATAAAAATATTAGCAAATAACATAGACTAATGTTGAAACTTACTTGATGAATTCTAAAAGCAAATCTCACACCCTGTAGCAGCATATACTCTAATGCAGGACCTTTATCAGATACTCCCATGGCTTGCAGCTCGGTTGCTACCCTCTTCATATATTTTCTGGCAAGCTTGACTGAAGCAAATTTAATCTGCAGTGAAAACACAGTAAGCGAGTGGATAAAGCAGTTCCTCTAAAATTTGTTCTTCTGATAGCAAAGGCAAAAGAAAATGAACATCACATCATAGGCATACTAAATTAATAAGAATTTAGTAATTTTTCAATGCCTAAGCATGCTAAATAGGCTTATACACAAATGTTTAATTAACTACAATGTTCCTCACAAATAAAATGTTGATACCTTGCTAATAAGGCCAGAGTCAAGCATCCAATCTATGGGAATTTGAAATTCCTTACAGTTGCGCATCAAAGCATCTCTTGTTCTCAGAAGAGTATAGACACTACGTTCAATCCTAAGGTCCACAAATTTCCCAATAATTTATTTGAAATTGAAAAAGCTTTACAGATATAAAAAATAAGATGATGGATTAGAAGCAAAATCTTACTTTTCAGAAAGTGCCACCATTTTCTTTAATGCAATCTCACAAGAAAGATGAAGATCATCTTCATAGTTTGTGGCTTCAAACTCCAATTTATTTAGATCAAGATAGCCAAAAGCAGCTTCTCTCAGTGTGTCAGCTTTCTTCTCAGGCCAATCGAAGTGTTTTAACACTGCTCTTTCATCAACCTTCAAAGGGATAAACATGCATCCTATTAAAATCACCAACAGCTAAAGCTAAATAACAAAAACATTCAAGTGGGACGCTCACAAGAAAGCAAAGTTCATCATCAAGCCATTTAACAAATGCAACAACATCTTCAATGTCTCGGTAAACAGCAGTGTTTACTTCTTTTATCAAAGAGTTTACAAATTCGCCCTGAGTTTCCACATCAGCTTTTATCTAAAAAATGAGGCAGAGAATGATTAGCATATGATATAAACACTGCAAATCAGGATAAACAAATAAATAAAGAATTTTACAGCCAGCAAATAAGAAGAACGGTTCTCAATTTCTCCAATCATGCTGCTACGAACGTTTGCAACATCAGGAATATCACCAACCCCGCCGCCACAATTATCTTTTCTCGACTCTCTCTTCATCAGAGAATGGTATAATTCAGCAACCTGTGGTGCTCTTTGCATAATCCCCGAGCTTTTAGCCAAGAACTTTGGTGGGGGTGGAGGAGGTGGAGGGGGTGGAGGAATTGGACCCGATCCAACTCTATTTTCCACATTAGGAGCTGCAGTAGAAGGTCGTGGTGGAGGGTTTGGAATTCGTAAAGTGCGCTTTTCAACATCAAAAGCTGCGACTTTGATTGGCTCAGTTCTACAACTGGGGTAATAGGAGCTCTGAACATCTTCAAAATCATGTTTTTTAACAATTATCTGCTCCCTTTCCTTTCCCATATCTGTTTGTTCTATTTCTTTATGATAAATAAAACCATCAGATTGTCTCCTTTTGTTAACAACATTAAAGTCCTCGGGACAAGTGTTTGATCCACTAATAGAATGTCTCCGTTGAGAGTTTATCCCTTCCTGCACTTCAATCCAATCTTTGTCAAAAAAGTTTTGACAATCAAACATCTGACATTTATCATTAGATTGAGGCCACCAGGATGAAAGCTTCGATGATATCATTTTTTTTGGATCACAAACATCAAAAACATCATCTTTCTCAGCAAGATGATCAATATTCCTAAATGTGAAGTCATCGGTAAGATTTAGATTCTGGTTGGACTGTTTCTCCGAGTTACAAAGTTCTTGGCGTAAACAAGAGTTCACCCATCTCAGATAAGCAAGCTCCTCAACCTCAGTTAACCTCCTCATTTGTAAGCCCTCAACTTGCTTACAAAGATCTTCATTTGTAACTCTTAACACCGATGCCTCTGCTTGAACCTTTGCCACAATATCGCTCTGGAGAAAATAATTAATCCAACAAGCTCATCAACGGATAAAAATAACTTAAATATTAATCACTATACATAAGGTTGCCATACTAACCTTTGCAAGGGAAGCTAGTTGGGACTCAGTTGAAGCCAATCTGATGGCTAGATTCCTCTTTTGAAACTGTAGTTCCTTATTTATGCGACGTAATTCAAGCACTTCCATTTCTAAATTCCTGTAAAAAGATGGTTTCAGCTCAGAACTAATATCAGTTGCCCTATTCTGACTTCTTTCTGACCTTGAATTCTCATGTCTTTCCAACATAGAAGAAAGTGAAGCTAGCTGAGAAGAGAGGTTTGCTTTCTCAGCTTCAAGAGCACAGATTCTAGTATTAAGGCTTTCAATTTCAGCATATTTTATCTCAAGAGCACCTTGAAGCTCTGAAATTCTAGAATCAGCTTTACACTTCTGTAACTCAGACTGTAATCCTAATTCTCTATCCTTGGATGCTCGAAGCAAACTTCTAAGGTGATCCAACTCCGTAAAGAGATCATTAGAAGATGGAGACCTTACCCTTTGACAATCAAATGCATGAGGATGAACCTGTGTTGCAGTTTCAGAACATGGAAAATCACCAATAAGAGATCTTTTAACACGCGAATGATACACTAAGTATTGGTTATTATGATTGTGATCTTCAGCGCAGTTAAGAGGTGGCTTCGATATGGGAACTACTGCTTGCAATTTATTCTTCTTGTCTGTCACAAAGCCTTTTACAATCTGAGATCCCCAAGAGGAACTAGATCTAGGTTTGGGAGGATTTCCATGTTTTCCGTTGACCCTCAAGGCCTGATTTTGCTGAGAAATCTTGCATGGCTTTGTCCGGTTATCAAATGCAATATCTTCCCTCATTATGAAAGCAGTGCAGGCTCAAGCTAACCTGAAATTTGAATGCAATGAAACATTATATTGCATATTGGATCGAGAAACTTAACAATTAACGCACAATGAATCAAATCAACGTAACAAATTAAATCTTGAAATGGGGAAAAAGCAAAAGATTAGTGCTTGTAAACATACTTTTTAAGTTTCGGCCAAAAGTTAGCTCCTGCGGCTAGTTTGCTTTTTGGTGTTTGGATTGATTTGTTTAAGTTCTGCAAGATTAGAGCGAGCTGCCAAATGAAACAAGGAGAACAATAGGATCAGAAATTAGGGTCTTTCCAAGAGAAGCTTTCAAAAGAACAAGTGAAAAAGACACTCTGATTGTAGTGATTATTTCTTGTGCACAATCGAAGTGACATAAAGATTGCTGCAAGGTAAAAATACATGTAAAGATAACTCCATCGCAAATCACAAGAGAAATGAAACATAAAGGGCGACGAAACCAAATAGTCTTGTTAACTTGCGAGTAAAAAAAACCTTGCCGCATCTAACAAGTGGTGTTAGGTTAATCTGTAGTTGGTGAAAAATAGACATAGCTAGGGTGAGAAAAGGTGAAATGCAGTTCATGGTAAAGCTAAAATTCTTGAATGACTCTAAGATCAAAGGTCCCTTTCACAAAAAGTAAATTAGGTCTACTGTGCATTGTGAAGTTGCATAGTCTAACCAAAAAAAAATAAAATAAAATAAACGATTTTATATAGGCTAGAAATAAGGGAAACAATACACAGAAAATCAAATGCAACAAAATGCAACCATTATAGCATCCATCCAACCCCACAACAAGCAAGCCGCAGAAATGTTAACAGAAGAACTACGACACCTTCACAGAAACGGAAGAAAACAAGCTCTGAAAGCCTTCTGAGAACCCTTGAAACCAAATGAGGAAGACGAGTTGATCTGTTTGGTCTCTCTCTCTATCCCGACCGTCACTGAAAACCTACGTTTCTATGGATTAAGCCAAAAAGAAATCCGACTCCAGGCTCGAGGACATCGTACAGCTTTGAGCGCCTCGGAAGTTTTAGTGGAATGGGAGTGGGACTTCTGGTTTGAAATTTTGAATTTTTAAAACACGAGATAGCCGTGTAGGTCGGAAATATTTAAAGAACGTTGATGCTCTTCAAACATATGATGTTGAGAATCAATATTGCGCGTATGCCATTCTTTCTCACGTAATTTTGGGAGAAGGTTGACAATAATATTAAATGATTTGTATATAATTAATTTTAGATGAATCAAAATTATAGTATAATTTAATGACATGATATGCTCCTTTGTGGCATTTAAAAAATATCTCCCTCTTCTTCATATTTTTTAAAGGTTAAGCAACAAATTTATTTTCTCCTTCGCACACCTCCCGATTCGCTTCCCTTGCATGGCCCAAGCATAGCTTTAACTATGCCTAATACGCCATGTTATAGGAGATTGAAGAAGAAGAAGAAGGAGAAGAGGAGGAAATTAGTCTGAAGAAAGCCAAAGGGGCTATTTGAGATTACTTTTAACTTTTGTTTTTATTTTGTTTATTTTTATTTTGATTTAAAGTCAAATATATTTGATATGATATAGCATGTTTAGTTGTTTTAAAAAATGCTCAAAATAATTTTTAGATATTTTAAGAGTTTTTTAAAACAAACTAATTTATTTTTAAAATTTTAAAAATAAAAATTTACAAAATATGCACTAAACAAACATGTTTTTGAAATAAAAGTATAGATAAAAAGGTAAAATGATCCCAAGCAAGCCCTAGGTATTTATGTAATTATTTTGTATACATGTCTTTCCAACTTCACATTTTAATGTTTAGTGTATTCTTATATAGGTATACTGCAAGGTATTTTTGGTATTTCCTGTGTATCAGCCATGTGTATATCTATACTAGTTTGTTAGGGAATTGTTGCTCTAGCTCCTTCGATTTCGAAGAGGAACCACTACTTTGTGTTTTTATGATCAGGTATGCTACTTTACCCCCCTCTCAAGACGATGGTCAAGGGATTTAACAGTCATCTTGTTGGTGAGAAGATGAGCTAGAGTGGTTGGAAGCGGTTTCATGAATATGCCTGCAATTTGATCCTAGGACATGATGTGATGAACTGTGATTTCTGCAAGTTTGACGTGATCATGAATAAAGCAAAAATATACTTCAATGTGTTTTGTCCTAGTTTAGATAATGGATTGAGGGTGGGGGCTATAACGAATGTGTTATCAGTATAGATTTTGGTTGTTTGTTTGGTTGAAAAAGCAACTAGTAGGAGTTTTTGTATTCGAATGATGTATATTGCAGCTGATGATAGTGCAATATATTTCACTTCTATTGTGATATTGTCACTGTGGGTTATTTCATCGTTGACTAGGATATTAGGTTAGGTTCAAGGTAAATGTAGAATCATGTTGTAGATTTCTATCTATTGGGTTGCTTGCCTAATATGCACCCATATATGCTTGGAGTTATAGGTCATCCATTGTAATGAAAAGTCCACGGTGAAATGTCCCTTTAGGGTAGCAGAGCAATGCTTTGAGTAGTTATGACTGCTCTGTTTGGGGTTTGTGTGTGCTTTGGCTAAGAAAATTGATTGTGAATGTGATATCAGGTCATGTGATAGCAAGGTTTTATAGTGATCCTAGCATTTCTCTAAGGTGTTATGGTTCGAAGAGAGGTGGATTGAGATTTTTCTATATGTTAAGGTGTGAGGGCAGTACTAGTTTTAGGATTGGCTTGGATTGAAGCATGTCAGCTAACTAAATAAGATTGGTGTGGTAATTTTTTTTATGCAAAAATAGCCTTGTGTGGTGTGGTGAACTTGTAGCTTAAGAAATTAGGATAAGAGACCAAGTTATTTGAGGTTGAATTGTTGTTTGAATTTGTGTGAGTTAGTCTTGATAATTGTATGGGAATTATTGTAATCCATATGTCATTGACAAAGATAAATAAATAATTTATTGGGTTATTCTTGAGGCAGAGGAGGAATGATTGGTGTACTATGTTTAGTGTGAAATGCTAGGTATACAAATGGACGCAAAATGTGGAGCACCACTGAGGGGTAGTTTGCTTGAATGCTAGAGGTTTTTTTTGTTTGAGTGTATTCATCATAGATCTCAAAAAATTTATATCTAAATGATTATATTCGACATTTAATGAAGAATACGCCACCATAAGGGGAAGAAATATTACCTTGAAATGAATCTAATTATTTAGATGATAAAAATCTTTAGGATTTATGGGTTTACAAAACTAGTGGGTTTTCCCCTACCTTACGGGGGTAAAATATGGTTCATTTTATTCTAAGGTCTGGTATCCCTATAAGTAACATAGTTTAATAGTTTAGTAGTTATTGTTTAAACTTTGTATTTCATTTTTGTTATTAGTTAAATAATTTAGTTCTGATAATATCTTAACATTCAAAATTAGTGACAGTAATTTCGTATTGACTTTCTGTGAATTTTCTAGTAAATTTATCATTTCAAATTTAAACCTTCCCCGTGGGATCGATATTTGGGGCTTAAATAGAAAGTCCTTTATTACTTGATAATGATACGTGTACTTGCGTAGAATCCCAACATTAATTGCTTAAATTTATTATTCATAAAATATTGCATCAAGCTTTTGTCACTGTTGCATAGCGGAGTCAACTATACAATTTTTACACAACTATATTTTTGGGGGATCAATGCCAACAAGGTGCAAAAATCTAATTGGGATGAGATAGCTTGGATGGGTTTAATTTTGAGTTTTAGCCATGAGGGAGCACTTTGTGGTGGCTTTTCCGGCAGCCTAGGTGGCCAGACGGCTAGCCTCAGGTCACCATCTGACTCAGGGAGGTCAGGGCTTGGGTTTGGTGAAGTCAATTGAGATTGGCCATGTGTAAAGAAGTTGATCTAAAATAGGATGTGGGAAGGGCCATTTTGGGTCAATTTGGGTCAAATCATGGTTTTGGGTTGGGTTCACCCCTCAAGGAAAGCTGGGTGCTAAGGAGAAATCAGATGTTTCAACTTAATCATTAATAGGTCCCTATCCATGTGATTTGGTTAAATATGGGGTTTAGGTGATTCATGGGAGGGGTTAAAAGGATCTTAAGGATATTTGAAAGTAGTTTTGCCTCTTGCCGCTAATATTATGGTGATGTGGCATGACTCTCATGGCTCACCTATGGCTTGGGAGTAACTTCATGGCTTCCCTTTGGCTTGGTCAACTTTCATGAGGAGGGATTTTTGAATTTATGAAATATTTTGGTATACTTTGGCATGATGCTTGATTTAGAATGATTTGATTTTGAATTTAGGACTTTAAGAATGATTTTAATCAAATGGATGATGAAGAAAAAGAATTGTCGTGTGGGCTTTGGATTTGGGTTTTTGAAATTAAATGAGGTGGGCTTGGGATTTTGAATATGAAATTGATCTTGGACTAAAATTCTAGGCTAATTGAATGTTGAATTTGGTGTAGGGGCATATCATGAAAGATTTGGAAAAATTTCAAGTGATTTTGAATTGAATTGGTGGGCTAATTTGATGGATTTAGGCATATGATCAAAATTGGGGCTTTTTTATTTAATTAAAATTGGACTTGCAATTGGGTCAAATTGAGCTTGAATTTTGTTTAGATTAGAATTGAGGATTCTGAATTTTGATTTAGAATTGAAATTGGGCAAGATTGGGGTCAATTAGGCCAAAATTAGGGTTAATTTGGGGGGCATTTGGTCAAATTGGGTCAAATTGATGATAATAAATTGAGATTGGGAATATTTGGAATGATTTTGGAATTTTTGAAATTTTTAGGTCCTGAGGAGCATTTTGGTGATTTTAGCAATTTTTGGGGGTATTTTGGGAATTTAGTAATTTTGGTGATTTTTGATCAATTTAGGTAGTGGTGGGGGGTTTGAGATGATTTTTAGACAAATTTGGGTATTTTGGTATTTTTTGGCAAAAATTAGAGTTGTAGGGGTATTTTGGTAATTTGGTAATCTTGGGCTAGAATTAACAAGTAAGTCATGAAGCCATGCGAGAACTCATTTTGGATGCTCAATATGCTAGCTCTAACCCTCTTAGTCAAAGACTAGGTGTAGGTTCATTCATATGAGCTCTCCAAAAGGAGTCAGGAGACCAACTTAAGAGGTCATAGTGTTTGGGGTAAGTGAAAAAGTGTAGTGTGTGTAAGTTAGCCCCACAAGAACCAGATCACCCTGGGTTAGTCCTTAGGTCTGACCATCCTATGGGGGACTTCTCTTGAGCTCCTCCATATTGACTCCACCTACTAAGTGCTAGAGGTTAGGACCAACATGTGGAACTTCAAGTTGAGTAAAGAAAAATTTGGAAGTTCCTTTTTGTAGTCCTCTAGGAATAGTTAACCAGAAAATCCTATGGTTAGACCCTAGACTGCTAAAGAGGAAAAAGCTAGATCTCAACCAAAAATGAGGTCAACAATAAGTTTAATTTTTTACTTTAATTTCTTAGGTTGATGTTTTTTCATTTAGAGTCTCATTAGGTTTAGTTTTCTAGTGTTTACTGTAAAGTTAAGATGCAAATGTCAAATGTCAGCTTAAGTGATTAAATTTCTATTAAAGTTTTAGATGATTTAAAGGTTTTATATGTTTAAGCTGTTTATTTCTTAAATGTGTTAGTTTGAATATTTATGTCTTTCAAGTCATTTTGGTTTAAGTAACTTAGCATGTTGTCATCTTAGATTAAGTGTCTTAATATATTATTTGGTCTAAGTGTTTAAATGGTTCTAAGTTTATTTTGATTGATGTACCAAGTTATCTTAAATTATTTAGGTTAAGTATTTTAGTTATCTTATGTTTTTTAATTTAAATGTCTTAATTATCTTAACTTATTTAGTTATGTATTAAGGTAATCTTAGGTTATTTAGTTTAAGTGACTTGGTCATCTTAGGTTATTTAATTTAAGTGACTTAGCTATCTTAGAATATTTAATTTAATTATCTTAGTTATCTTAACTTATATAGTTTAATGATTAAGGTAATCTTATGTTATTTAAATATTTTAGTTTTTTTATTTCATTTAGGTTTGATTGTTTAAGATGTTATCTAGCTTAACTATTTTAGGGATTTATTTTATTTAAGTGTTTTAGTTGTT